CCTAATAATACCATCTCTTTCCTCACAACTAGGACCCATCCTATCTTTTGATTACATAATTATCAACGGTCTTGATTACTTAACATATTTGTTAGAAAATACCATGATTTATTATGTATGTCTATTATTGTCAAAATCATTGTTATTAATTATGTTAGTATATTTAGGGAAATAATTTGACTCTATTTTTTCAAATGGTAAGAATTACTCAACTTCCTTTTTTTATCACAATCATCCACTTCGATTGACTTACTGTATTTCTATACTTTATTCACATAAAAAGATCATATTGTAGATTATCATCTATGGTTGTATTTGTTCAAGCATAGAACCAACATATGTCCCATATTTTTTATTATCTTCATTTAAAAGAAATTCACTTCATATTTTTCTACTGTTTGTGTGTACGTTTTTATTTTGTATGCCACAAACATAGTAGCAATCATTTTTATTATATGTAATAAAATTAATGCCACAAACATATTATATGTAAAATTAGCAATATTAAATGCAATTACTAGCAATAAAATGAATGGTTGATAGCATCATTTAAATTATGTGATTGGTTAAGATATACATGTAGCTTCAATTATTACTATAAGCATTAAGGCGTGCCATTTTATTTTGATGAAATAAAATGATATTGTTTTTAGGATTTCAGTATTTCGATGAAATAAAATGATCTCGGTAAGGAATGCTCTCATCGATACCTCTTTTTAGTGTTCGACAATTCTAAGTTCGGTAAAAGAGTATAACCGAGGGATATGCAATAATTCGAACATGAAATTAATTTTACTGTAGTAAAACTAATATAAACAAAAATATGACTTAATATAAATATTCATTTTTGTAACAATTATATGATGGATCGACCCGCCTAATGGTTAAACTGTCTCATATAAGAATTGATTATGATCTTTGAACTTATTTCTCAGAAACAAAGTGGTGGAGCCAATTTTGTTGGAAGTCGATCAAATCCACCATTTGGCCTGGCCTGTGTAGCTGGTGCATTATAAGTTAATCCATTCAAGACTATCATATCTTTTTTTTTTCTATGTGTTATGGATGAGATAGATTTGATCTTAATTAGTGTTGTTTTTTGTTGGTAATTATATGATATGTGTGTGCATGTACATGTTGCATTTTAATTGTATCAGTAACGTGATATCCCTAGGTTATGGGGTATTATACTTGGGTATTACATCTTCCTATTGCTTTTTGTTGGTAATTATCTGATATGTGTGTGCATGTACATGTTGCATTTTAACTGTATCAGTAACGTGTTATCCCTAGATTATGGGGTATTATACCTGGGGTATTACGTCACAGTTTTATTTTATGTCAAATTAGCAATATTAAATGCAATTACTAGCAATAAAATGAATGGTTGATAGCATCCTTTACATTATGTGATTGATTAAGATAGCATTCTGTAGCTTTAAATGCAACAATGTTTGGAAGATGTTCCATAATATTATATTTTTATTAGTAACTAATATCATTTGCTTATGATACAATTTTCATTTGTATTAAGAAATCATTATTAAAAAAAATAAACAAAAAATAAAATACATCTATTCAAAAGTTGTAAAAACAATAAGATACCACCATCAATTCTAACTCGGTCGATGCAAAATAATATCAATAATCAAAGCAATTGTTCAAAACAACTTAGATTAATATGTCTGATTTATCGATCACACATACTATAGTCGAGGCATTTAGCATATATAGGGCAGACAAGGATGCCTTTGTTATTGGCGACGACTTATTTATGAATTTTGATCCTGTCGAGTTTTGTATCACGATGGGGTTAAGATATGGTGGTCTAAGTGTAGATTTAGATCTTAGTTTGGAGTCAAAAGCCTTGTTCAACGGTTGGGGTCGGGTAGATAGGAGGCTTTTGAAAAGAAAGCATGTTATAGAGTTGTTAGAAAAGTTTTTTGTGGATGAAGCTCGTGTAGACGACTTCATCCGAATGTTTAGTCTTCTTGTCTTTAGTTGTATTTTGTTTCCTTATCCTAGCTATTCTATTCTCAAGTTTCTTTACCCTTACATAGAGGATGTAAGTAAAATTTATGAGTATGCATGGGGAGATGTTACTCATATGTTCTTTAGTTGGTGTGCTTGTTTGTCACACGAAATCGAAAGATCGATCGTACTTCAATGGGTGCTCTTTGTGACTCATCATATGTATAGATTTATTTCAATGTCTTAATATAATAATATGAAATTGTGAAATTCTTAATTTTTGAAATCTTGTGTAGGCTTGGTTGTACGAGCGTATCCCTTCTCTTGGCAAGAGATCGACACTTGAGGCGATTCTCCATTTATTTCGACGGACGAGGAGCACCTTGCCTTCGACAGTGGAATGGTCTTTGACGTCCCTTAAAAAAGTGATGAGGCATTGATATGGTCCGAGATAGGTAACTCCGTTCTTTCGAAGGGTTCTTCCCAGTTGCGGCGTGAACACGTCTAACTCGGTCCGATCTAAGCTCGAATGCTCGCTGGTACCTGCAAATGCACCGGAATTGCTCCGGCGCAAGACCCTCCGACGCCCAAGTTAGTGTCTCGGTTTTGAGAGAGAAAATGTGTATAATTGATGTTGTAGAAATGTAATAATGATCAGTCTCTTCTTACCAATACTGCATTAACCCTTTATATAGTGTTTTAACTGCACGGTTCTTCATTGGGCGCTGCTACCAAGGGTCGAACAGGGGTTGGAGTTCAACCCCTGTCCAGCAGGTCGATTTAGTGGGTCGACATCCCATGGGTCGATCTCAAGGCTGACGGGTCGCTGCCCCTGCGTGTGTAGGGCTGAAGGGTCGATGCCCCTGCTATTGTGTGGGTAAGGCTGACGGGTCGATTCCCCTGCATGGGTAAGGCTGACGGGTCGATGCCTCTTCGTGGGTCGACCCTACACCCACTTACTACTTTAGCCCACTTGACTTTGTTTAACGGGTCTTTGCTTGACCGGTCCAGTTAGATACCATAATCCCTATCAACTACTCCCCCTATTTACGAGTGCACGGGTCGAGAACCGTGCGGTCGTAAATATAATGTCTCAGAAGTCCATTGTCGGCAATCGCGTCTTGGGTCAACCGCACACCTTGGCCAATCTACCCGACACAGAATTTCACACCCTTATTTTGGGTCGACCACATAAATTCAATACAATTCCACACTGCTTTATGCTCGGTTAACCCCGATTAATGAGAAGGTCTCGATTTTGGGTCTTAGTCTTTGAACACTTTTGACTAATGTCTTTTCTCCTCTTCCAAGACAATGCCACCCACTTTAAGTCCCACTACCCAACATTTTTTGGTCCTCCTTCACCCACTTCTTTCCCTACCTTTTTTTTAAACGGGCTCTTTTTGGTGGCCACGTAGGACGGTCAAAGATCCCCTGCGATCGCCCTCTTTTGAGCTAGTCAATTGTTGCCCCCTCTCGCGAGCCTCTTGCCGCGTGTCGACCGTTTTCCGTCTAGCTGCCCTTCCGCTAGCGAGCCCTCATGGGTCGAGAGTCGAGCCTCGAGCCTCGTGGTCGGTTGTCGACCATGCGACTTGTCGCCTCGGGTGCCGTATACGGGGGTCGAGTATCGACCGTGGGAGTCGAACGGGCCGCGTTGTGCTGGTCGGCTAAGTCGCACCCGTCGACTGTGTCGTATTGGTCGACTAAGTTGTACCGGTCGACGGTGTTATGCCGATCGACTAAATCGAGCCAATCGACCTTGTCTCATCGGTCCTGTCAAACGTAGTGGTCGACCATGTGAGTGTTTGTCAGCCATGCGAGTCATACCCTTGCGCAGGTCAAGTGTGTCGACCCTCCCCTCATGGGTCGACCAGTTCAACCCCATCTTGCGTGTTGTGCGGGTCGACCATGTTGACTCCTCTCGCTTGGGTCGTTTGAGTTGATCATGTCGACCCCCAACGCCTAGGTCGAGTGGTTCGGTCGTGTTAGGTCTCGATATCACGTCTATTTTTTGTTGTTACTTTGCATGCGCGAAATACTTGTACCGAGCCGTTACTCTTGTTGTTTTTCAGATACCATTATCAAGCAATTCGAGGTGCAAAAGAAATAGGCTAGGTCCACGTGATGGACCCTCCAACTGGGATCGAGCGGACTGCCTCTCGGCGCATACCCGTAGTCAGAGCCATTATGCTCCACTTTTTGTCGAAGTAGCTACATCGCGGGGGTGACCGCCTTGCGTGGGCCGCTCACACTGCGCGGGTCGAGCTTGTTGTGTCAGTCCGCCACATCGCGCGGATCGTGTGCCCATGTGAGCTCGATCAAGCGAGATAAGGATCGAGTCTAAGAGCTCAATCACGCGTAGTCGGGGATCGTGTATGGGCCTCGATCTATGTCCTTCCTCATTTTGTGTGGTATACGCATGGTTCATGATGTGTACGTGTTCGACGCGTGATCTTCAGTCTTTGATGTGTCGACCTGCGACACACTGAACCTGCGAGACGTCGATCTACGGTGCATGGTCTGTGATGCATCGACCGACGTATCGATCTGCGCTGCATTAACCGACGTATCGATCTGCGCTGCATCGACCATCGAGGCGTTGACATATGATCTGCGAGGTACCGACGTAAGAAGTGTCGACCTGCGGGGCGTCGGTCTGTGTTGCATCGACCGTTGAAGCGTCAACGTGCGGAACATTCAATGTCGGTCTGTTATTCACACATGAGGAATTGGATCTCGACTTGCGCTTAAGGTGTCTGAGCTCTATCCTTGCGTATGAGGTGTCGGAGCACAATCCTCGTGCTTGTGGTGTCGCGCTTGAGGTATTGCGCTTGAACGCGATACGTCGTGCCGTGGTGCGTCAACTTGTGACTTATCGGCCTTCGTAGTGTCGACCTGCGTAGTGTTCGACCCGCATGGTGTCGAACTACATGGTGTTCGATCTGCTTGGTGTAGACATGCGTGGTGTAAACCTGCGTGGTCCTGTCGGTAGTGCGTCGACCATGGGTCAAAGGTATCA